CAACAGGTAAGAAGTGGAGTTTGCTTCTATTTCTTTTTTCTATCATTCGTACAGACGACATTGGCATTCGACATTTCACAAATTCATCACTGACATGTTATATAGAAATTAAACACAGTAGCACCAATGCAATCCAATTCATTGCTCATCTCGTCACCGAATATGAACAACATATCATATTCCTTCAAAATTAATTAATCTTCGTTCGATTTTCATACATTGATCACACCCAGTTCAATGAACAAATACACAAGATAAACCAAGCAATAGTATGACGTTGCCGCCAGTCTTACTCTTTGCTTCACAACTGAAATACACTCGCACCCTCAAGAATACTTGATTTCAACGTCTCATTTTCATTGAACTTGACATGAACATAAACTCCTTGGCGTTGTCATCGTAACACATCTGGCAATGCCGCAGTAACAACGATTGCACTGTACGTCACGACAACCACACAAACAACTTCTAAAGATACATTATATGCATTTGAAAAACCAACACAAACGCATGCCATGCATATAATAGAATAAATCTATGAAGATAGTCGTTCTTCATCGGCTTGAATTGACTACAAATCTTCACTTGCTTGTTTATTTTGATTCAATTCGAATCTATTCTCTGTTGCCAGCATTAGATCAATCGTTGAATCTAGATGAAGAAGAGAACCGAATGAAGCTTTCAACCAAATTAAACACATGCATTCTCACACGTTTAGATACGATACATTGTTTTGGACCGTTCAAGTGCATGTTTCCCATTTTCATTTCGATCTCATTATACTACTGCTGTCGCTGCGATTACTGCTTGGGATAAAGATGATGATGGTGGTGATGACAACAAGAAGAACAACAAGTCAATACTAAATTAGTTACAAATCCTCATTCTATAGATTTATATACGTATGTATATGTTTGTTAGTCTAGCATTTTCGATTCAATCAACCGATATTGATAGACTATGACGCGGCAAACTAATAACCATATATGTTTGATATTAAACCGAGCTATCATGTTTCAACGTCATTTTCATCTGATCTTGTATACACCAAATGCTACTTCATTCGACTATAATCCGATTCGGCAAAAGGAATGAAACTTTCCATTGTCATCCTATACAATTTCGACATCGTCAAGATCGATTTTCGCGGCAAAAATATTGTCTCATGTAGAAGAATTTGTCTCCTCTTTTTCAACGAAACTTGCTCTCGTATGAGGAGCGAAACATCGCGTACATGGATAAGTATGGCAAAGCCTTCTTCTTCATTTAAATCGACACAGATATTGCACATCTAAAAAGAAATCAATTTGGTTAACTACATGTACATATAAATGAACATCAAGCACAAAGGCAACGATGTCAAAATGATATGTGAAACACGTGAAAATACAAAACGACGGTGAACATACATGTGTGGTATAAACGATGGCAATCTAAAGGAATAGACGTTCACGATTTTATATCCCCTTCGATCAGACTTGGAAAAGTTGAATACGATCACAAGACACACATGCATGAGGAATCGATTTGTTGGAATTGACTTGTAATGTAGAAGTTGAAAACAAAGTAAATCTCGAGCTGAAATGCATAGCTAGACAATATGATTTCGAGAGTGAGAAAACGCCGATCGTCTTCGAATGACTGAAAAAGAAAATGCGTCACACATTGAATAGATCTTCAACGTGCACGATGGAGAAATGACATTTTTACGATTGACATCAACTAAAAGAAAACATATGTAATATACACACATGGCTTTTCTACATTCGTCAATACGAAAGCAAAATCAAAGCTTCATATCTTGTCATAGCAACGAATGATTCTCAATTATTAAATCAATCCGTTGAAGAATTGCGTGATATCGTNATTTTCAATATTTCACATAATCGTCGTTTTCATATAGAATTCCTGATGAACATCGACAACAAATACAAGAATGGCTAGACAATGATTTTCAAAAGCGAATTGAAAATAAAATTACTCGTTCTAGATGTCTATTCATGGTTGGCCCAACTAAACATGGTAATTTCTTAATTTGGTGCTTCTCATTTACAATTCATTCACTAGATAGAACGAAGATGTTGATTAATAGAATCTAAGCAACTGTCTATTGAATTGTGCGGAGTCACCAATTAGAGCAATTCGCCATTTTCGGTAGAACGTATATTGGCTATTCTCTTAATTCTTTGTTTGAAATTGCATGTTGACAGAAAAGAAAGAAAAAAATTGCGCGCCGTTGTCATGCTAACGAACATGTATACTGATCGGAGGAAAGAAAGAAAGATTTGTTTCATAAATGAACGAATAGAACGCAACAGAAACACTGATCACCTCTCTTTGTTTGTGGAATGTGTTAAAGTGTCATCTCTATGCGAAAGATCATTCGTATCGATGAATTTTCTTTGTCAAATTGTGAATTCATGTACATAAGGAACGGCGAACCGTTTTGAAGTCGGATAATATTCTATGTAAGATTATTAGATGCTCTGCAAAATTTTTCCACATTCTTATCACGCAGACGAAAGTAAATTCAATGAATAAGCCCCTTTACATTGTTAGGTTGTCCTAATATGTACAAAAATGCTCTTTTAGCTTGGCTTACTTTTTATCATGATAATTTGTTTTACAGTTTGAACTATTTAACAGAAAAAACTCGTCTTTTGTGGTTCGATGTGAATTCGTTTCACCCAGCTTTCGTTCCTAAAATATGTTCTATCAAACAACGATCCAATCGTGGCTGCGCCATAGAATTTCAAAGCACAATTTTTGAACGATTTAATGTCGATTCAGCAACTGTTGTAATAACGGTATAGTTAAATAGAACTCGCTCCACTTGTCAAAACATCTGTTTGCGAACAGCGCACGAATTTAAGATGTCACAAATAGTCAAAATCTTTGTGATCTGTTTTATTTTCATCTAATTCATGTCGATTACAGATTAAAGAAATCACAGGTCATACGTGTGTGCGTGTACTTCAGCCGTCAATCTTTGAATATAATTATCACCAATCACAAAATCTCATTTTCTCCTGAACAAGATCATATGAATTATCAACTGAAGTATTGAATACACCAAGAATACATATAATGGATAAATTTCTCAACATTGCATCACAATTCAAAGTTACTTTGAGTAGACCGAGAACACAGCGTGCTAATCATCATATCAAGTGCTTCAGCAGATTGTTTGCAATGAAATTCTTCGGAAGTAATAAAAGTAGAGTGTCTTAAAAATAGATCGTAACGTTTTCCCCATCGTCATCGTCGAGATAGAAAAAATCTTTCTGTTAAATCATCACTATCATCGCTTCCTCTTTCGTAAAGCNGAGCTATTGGGTGTTAGTGTTGAGGAAAGTGGTTTTTTCGAGTTTGTCAGGGGTTTATCTTTCTTAAAAGTTAAGAAAAGTGGGTGTTTGCGGGTGTTTGTGTTCATAACTCCTCGAGTTGTGGGTGTTTGTAGCAGTGATCGACATGCGATCTCGAAAAGTTGGCTGTTTGTGCTGTTAGCATAAATTAGTAATACCCGACGCTGTGAGAAAACAAGAAAAAATTAACGTAGACGGAATTCATTTTGAATACTTTTCATTCTCATAGATGTAACAGCGTTATGCATGGCAGTAGAACGCTAAAATTTTTGATATAACGAAAGAAATGCGTCGAGTTAATGACATTTTTTTAGTCTCTTCCCTACAATCTTTCAATAAGTCACCTATCTAGAGAATGTTTTCATTGTTTAAAATAGCTTCATTCATTCTCTTCTAGCTGTTTATTGATCGCTGTAGTTTTATATACTACAATGGCTCTCATTGTTATAATCCATCGATTGATTTCGTTTGTGGCGACTGTTTGAAGAAATTTTGCTATGACCATGCAATAGAACATGAACATACAGACGAAGCCGAAATCAGAAGGTGAGCAATTTCAGTACTTGTGATATATTTAGAGCTGCTCTTCTTACAGATCGAGCGCGTTTTCTTCGATGTCAAGTTTGAATGATAATCAGTTGACTGACGCACAGAAATCGTCATTCGATGTACCTATGTCACCATGCTCTTCTTGCAATAGTTCATGTGCGTGTTCTTGCTCAACAAGCTCATCTTCATCAAAGTCGGTTTTTGTCTCAGGTTTGTTTGAATACTTCTTTTAGTTCATAGTTTTAAAATGAAAAAGCTTTCATAGACGATTCTGTGATCATTTTTCATCCAATAGCCGTATCCACGCAAGCAATTCTTAATAACAATTCTAATTTATCAGCTACACAGGATATGCAGGAGAGCGTTAGTCTTGCTTCAATTGATTTCGTTGCCAATGTTTTATCTTCAAGAGAAAACAATCAGCTAAACGTTTCTCCAGAAGCACTAAATGAATCAATAGATGTTTTACCTAATGGAGTGGTCTCGAACGATCTTCTTTTGACATTGCAATCTACTTTGACAGATAATTCAACGAACACAAAGCGGAAAAAAGCTTTTCAAAATAAAAGTCATATTAAGGACGACAACGACAGATTAAATCGAGTCCATTTCTTTTTGAAAAACATCAAAACAAACATGACTTATCTAGATGCATTTACTTCTATTGCAACAATGTTTCCATTAATTCAAATCGCACCGACCAATGATTTGACCAAGATACGATATTTATGTGTTGCCGGTAGTATTCGTGTTGTTTTAAACTGTATGAGTATACTATAGAGTTTAGATACGTCGAAATCCGCTGGTGAAAAGCTAATTTCGATTCATATTTCATTTGCTAGAAAAGTCAACTTCAAGCACAAATTTTTGAACCATCTGTTTCCAAGTAAGATTGTTATTTTTAATCTTCTATCTAAATAAAACCTTTTTATTAAATAGATGTTGGTTCGGGTGAATATTTATATGTAACAAATGGGGACCGATTCAATGAAGAAATGAAGCTATTAGCTAATGGGAAATATATTGAATCATCGATTTATACCTGTAAAAAAGAAAACTTTGCATCGGATGATTATCGAAAGAAGCAAGAAGATGTTGCTACCGCAGCCTTCGAACAAGAATCGTTTAATAGCGGTTTGACTCTCCATTTCTATGCATACGCATTCTTTAAAAGATGTTTCTTTTTCAGCGGTTGATATAGTGAAAAAAAATTTGAAATTCGAATATCTCGTACGAGGTAAACAAATAAGAGAAAACATTGACTATGAATTACGAACTGCTAAAAAGCGCCAAGCGATGGAATACGCGCCACCACATGATGTTTCATCATTCATGTAAGAATTCATTTTCAATATTTCACATAATCGTCGTTTTCATATAGAATTCCTGATGAACATCGACAACAAATACAAGAATGGCTAGACAATGATTTTCAAAAGCGAATTGAAAATAAAATTACTCGTTCTAGATGTCTATTCATGGTTGGCCCAACTAAACATGGTAATTTCTTAATTTGATTCTTCTAATTTACAATTCATTCACTAGATAGAACGAAGATGTTGATTAATAGAACCTAAGCAACTGTCTACTGAATTGTGCTGAGTCACCAATTAAAGCAATTCGCCATTTTCGGTAGAACATATATTGGCTATTCTCTTAATTCTTTGTTTGAAATTCTATGTTAACAGAAAAGAAAGAAAAATATTGCGTGCCGTTGTCATGCTAACGAACATGTATACTGACCGGAGGAAAGAAAGAAAGAATTATTTCATAAATGAACGAATAGAACGCAACAGAAACAATGATCACCTCTCTTTGTTTGTGGAATGTGTTAAAGTGTCATCTCTATGCGAAAGGTCATTCGTATCGATGAATTTTCTTTGTCAAATTGTGAATTCATGTACATAAGGAACGGCGAACCGTTTTAAAGTCGGATAATATTCTATGTAAGATTATTAGATGCTCTGCAGAATTTTTCCACATTCTTATCACACAGACGAAAGTAAATTCAATGAATAAGCCGCTTTACATTGTTAAGTTGTCCTAATATGTACAAAATGCTCTTTTAGCTTGGCTTACTTTTTATCATGATAATTTCTTTTACAGTTTGAACTATTTAACAGAAAAAACTCGTCTTTTATCATTCGATGTGAATTCGTTTCACCCAGCTTTCGTTCCTAAATATGTTCTATCAAACAACGATCCAATCGTGGCTGTGCCATAGAATTTCAAAGCACAATTTTTGAACGATTTAATGTCGGTTCAGCAACTGTTGTAATAACGGTATAGTTAAATAGAGGTCGCTCCACTTGTCAAAACATCTGTTTGTGAACAGCACACGAATTTAAGATGTCACAAATAGTCAAAATCTTTGTGATCTGTTTTTTTCCATCTAATTCATGTCGATTATAGATTAAAGAAATCACAGGTCATACGTGTGTGCGTGTACTTCAGCTGTCAATCTTTGAATACAACTATCACCAATCACAAAAACTCATTTTCTCCTGAACAAGATCATATGAATTATCAACTGAAGTATTGAATACACCAAGAATACATACAAAGGATAAATTTCTCAACATTGCATCACAATTCAAAGTTACTTTGAGTAGACCGAGAACACAGCGTGCTAATCATCATATCTAGTGCTTCAACAGATTGTTTGCAATGAAATTCTTCATAAATAATAAAAGTAGAGTGTCTTAAAAAATAGATCGTAACATTTTTCCGGTCATTGTTGTTCAGATAGAAGAAATTTTTCTGTTAAAGCATCACTATCATCACTTCCTCTTTTGTAAAGCGATTGAACTGAACGCACATCTTTATTTCCTGAAATCTTATCCGTCGAATAGGTATGAGACAATTATTTGCAGTTTTAGCTACACAAAGAACATCTTGCAAGCGGTAACTTGAAACTTTGAATAACTTTTGACAGTTTTTCGTGTCTGTAAGTATCAAATAGGCTGATTTCACTCTAAAAAACTCAACCATTGATTTGTACAAATAAATCGTGTGCTTTAACTCGACCATTACCTTTTCCATCACTAATGGAGGATAAAAATAAAAATTCTTGAACTGAGACAATGTAATGAACTACATTGGCACAGAATCTTGTCCTTATTAAATTTATCTTAGAAGAATAAGGAACTTTTTATGAATAGAAAGAAGGAGTTTCAAAGAATCTATCGTTGAATATTTCAGAAAAGATATCCAAGTAGTTGAACCAAATTGCTGTTTCATTTGAATGTTCTCTACGAGCAAGATCTTGACGAAGCAAAAACACGACGCATGAGATTTGAATGATAAGTGCCTGATGCTTTTGCACATGTTGTTGTCATTTTGCTGATGTGAATTGTTCCCTAATATCAAGTTTTTCTTTTTGATTCATACCACAAATTGAATCATAAAGCAATTTCTTCCTTTCATTGGAATGTACTGCACTTTCGGAATCTGCACGATATGAATAACGAAATACTTTATGTAGAACATCAAAACAAGAGATATTTGTTTACTGAGTCCTTATTCATATTGGGACAATTTAATCGGATTTTTACTTCAAAAAGGTTAACCATGAATAATTTGCCAAACAATTTCATTTGACATGATCGTTGGTCGACAGCTGCCGAAACAAATTTATCATCCCGAACAAGTTGATGTGGATTTGACGGATGACAGCATGACAAATCACATTTTGAAAAAAATTCCTTTGTTGCAACAAAGTACTTGATTATCCGTATTCAATCATTCATTAGAATGATCAAAAATATCATCCTGATTTTCATGTTCAATTTTTTTCTACGACGTTATCATTGGATACATTCGATGCTTTAATACGATTAAAAACTTTGCCCGTAGACAATGTTTTAACACTTTCATGTTGTGAACTTGTTGGAACATGGCTTTTATCTACTCAATGTATATCTTCTGTTGAGAGTCATGATGCTGGAACTTTTGATTTTTTTTCTCGAAAAACAATCTACAATCAATCCAGCGGATCATTTCTATATCAATAACAGATTATTATCTGAATTATTGATGTGGTGAAGTGAAAATTGTCATTTTTAGCTGGCTGTACTATTTTTCGAGCGCGTGGTTCTATGATTGATACAATCTACACACCAACCAGTATAAACAATATAAAAGATGGCACTAGATGCCTAACGATTCCACAGGCTTCGGTGTCTGTGTGTGTAGATAAGTATTAATCTCATTGCTCATACTCTATGACCTTGACATTGAGTTTGATTTTCGAAAAATCAATATCGAAATAGCCACTTCGTTTACTCTAAATGATATTTCTGATAAGAACATACTATCTCAACACATGCCAAACCGTTTTTTGGCAAATAAATTATTTGCATGTGAAAATACATAGTATTGGATATTTTTGTCTCGTCGAACATATCGTTTACTAATAGATACATTGAAATTCAAAGACTCAAATTTTCTTCCTTCGAAACAGTTAAATATTGATGTGTAAGTCAGCATGAGAGATTCATCAATTCGTCTAGGAACACGAGCTTTGATGTCAATATTGTATCATCATGATCCTGTATTCGCCTATGTATCTGATCATGGTTGAATTCAGAACACAAATAAAAACGATTTTACAATTTTTTTAATTAGCATATGATATTTCTAACTGTTTACGACGGCGTTCTCGAACAAGAGAGGTAAACACTACGTCACCACATCACGGAATGATGTTAAAAGGAGTGATCCTGAGGTTGATGAATTAATTTTTATAATCATGATTGAACTATCAACGAATACTCTCGCTATATATTCAGTCAACAATGGCGTTGTATGAAAGCTTGACATCATTGAGGAAAATTTTAAGAAAACGAGGAAGTTCTTGGAACTGAAAGTAGTTTTGTTCGTTCGTCATCGATTCATCCATAATAACTATGATATACATACATGTTGCAGTTGAATATTGCTCTATCAACACCAACTTGAAAAGCCGAATAAACTATTTTCAGTACAATGAGAAAAGAAGCGTCTTTGTTTAGGAGAGGAGAATTCTTTTTTATTTGATATTTTTCGTTTTGCATACACTTCATGTAGACTGCTACAATTAGAAATATCGTTCTGATTGCTTTTTTCGATCAAGCGTTCACAGTAGAACCGATCTATTTATTTTCTCAATTGAAATACAGTTTAACTAGCTTAAACAGGAAATGCATAAGCCTTCGAATTTCAATGTAAAAAAACTATTAACATATTTTTTCGGCGCGAAAGAAAACGTTGAATTTTTCAGTTCTGTTGCGTAAATAGATTATTTCAGTTAGAAACGCTTTTGTTCCTTCTTATTCACATAGAGAATATACAAGTCAATTACAACTATTGAAGTGACTCAAAAGTATGACTTACTAGCTGTCTTTTCATTATTACATGCCGCAAATATCATCACTCTGCAGTACTCAGAAACGTAAATATCATTGTTTTTTTTTCAGGAATATAATAAATAAAACTGAAAACAATTAATCTTGTAAAGAAATGGTTCTTATTCAGAACAATACACGTGGTTTCGTAATGTTGAAACCAATCACAGTCTGGAGAAACGTATTATTGTAAATTCATTAACGGTAGACAGGTGATGACAAGGACGTCTGGGTTCGAAGATCAGTCTTGTTTACATTACCTGCCAACACGTTTTCAAGATAAAAGGAAAATGCCGAATAGTCGTAGCACGATAATTTACCATGAACAGTATGGCTTTTCTCAATAAGATACTGATCAGTGACTTAGAAATTTCATCACCTACTAATCTGTATCAGCCGGAGTGATATTCACCTTATATATAACTTGAGGTGCAAGGCAAAAATAGATTTTAGACTAAAACATCATCTAAAATAAGGAAGAATATTCAAATGATCCAAATCTGCTGTCGTCTGAAATTTTTTTCGACATGGATTGACAAGATTAATACAAAGGATGTCAGGCTTTGTGTAAACACATCGAGTCATTTCAATGAGCAGTGCCGCTACGATCAAAGGACCAGCAGACAGTCTAGTACACAGTGCGGCATCTTTGTAGTTTAGTAGACTAAATCAAAGATAAAATCTTTTCAACACCTCGGCACATATTTTCAAAGAAAGCGAAACGTAAACCAGAACCTAAAACCTATTGGCTGAAATAAAAAAGTCAGAGAACAGTAGCTAGCCAATAGAAAACGAAGAAAATTGATCATGATGATAAGCTCATAGTAGGCTGAGTATAAAAGCTATATGCAAAGAATGGTATCAACGTCATTTAGAAATTCTGTTGTTCATTCGATCTAGGTTTTTTTTCTTTTCTCAGAGTAAGCATTACATTACTTTCAACAATTTTATCTATATCGACTTCAAGACTTCCCACAAACATACAAATCGATTCCATCTAGAAAGTGAGTCTGTTTAACACTTTCCATCTAATTCTTTTTTTAAAATTACATTCTAAAGCTCGTGACTTCTTTAACCCCAGTTGCTATATGTTCATTGTGAAAATTTCTTTCATATTCTACTCAGAAATCTTGTCTCTACAATGCTAAAGATGCATGACCTAATGTGAGAGGTGATTCGTATAGTTTTGTCCTTTTGGTCTTTCCTCTTAGCTTTTCATTTCTGCTTCTGTGTTTATTATTTGAGCAAACTTATTCGAATCTAAATTCACACAGAACCAGACAGCGTAAGGTATAATCGAATAGGGGGATACAATAAGACATACTATAAGTCTTCCGTATTTAGAAAGTGTGAATATCGACTAGCTCTGTTTCTTTTTCTTTTTTCAGACCATTTCAAATTTATATCTAGCAATCTATTCATACTATCTTTGAGAGCTGAACTGTCTGATTATGAGCCGAAATACAATTGTTGAACTGAATCAAGATATAGGATGTTATCTACTACGATTTATTGACGGATTAGATGCGATTACTTTTATTGAAGCTGTAAACAATACTAATCAATTTTGGTCAATTGCAAAAACATTAGACCACCATTTTATTGAGTTAATCAAAGGATTCTGTGACCATCAAAGAATTTTATTACCCCGTGCATTATTTGAAAGTTTCACAGAAGACTATGAAATCGATGATGCTCGACTCCGATTAGTTCCGAAGCACTATTCGGATGTTATTGAGCCGTCAGAGCGCCTATATATTTATCCAGCCTTCAGTACTGGTGGATTTGCAAAATTATGTGAAGTCTATAAGACTTCTCTCTTTGAATGTTATTCTCGACTTGTACCATTGAACAACGTTTGGTACAGTGCAGATTTCGGACTTCTTAATTATGAATTGTACATTCACACAATTGGATCAGAACGTCTATTAAATGATCACGAGAAAAAGTTGTTCAAAGGTAAAATTGAAGTAAAACGAATTAGAAAATGTTCATATGTCATTAATTTTAGTAAATACATATTTCGATGTACAACTAGGTCGAACCTCTGATTTGCATCCAATGTTTGTATCGACTATGGAAGAATTTAATCAGAACCTACTCGTGCGTTTTTCATCGAACCTATGGATGGAAGCCATAGATTTCTCAAAATGGGCTCTTGCTGGTGGATGTGTTCTAAATGCATTGTGTCAATCGCCATTTCCAGATACTAGTGAACAAGATATCAATTTAGTGTACTGTATAGACGACATATTAGATTTTACAACCGCAGTAAACGTCGCCATAAGCCGTCTCAATCAAACAATCATGACAAATTTAAATGCCGGAATTAAAACGGAAAAAATTCCGGGAACACCTAGCTACAATGTGTTTCTACCCTGTAATGTACGGTTGAACTTTACCTGGATGCCGATAAGAAATTCAAAGAGTCCACTTTCTCACATTCTTCATAATTTCGACATGGACATTTGTCAAGTAGCTTTCAACGGTAAATATATCCATGTTTTTGAACGATTTCTCAAACATATCTAAAAATTTTAGGACATACCATCGTGTCAACATTTGCATTCTTACAAGCGCTCGCCACGAAATCGTTTATCAGTTATACTTTGTATGCTCGAAGTCCAAAACATTTATGTAGTCGTATACAAAAGTATTGTAACAGAGGATTTAAACTTCTGGAACCCGTTGATTTTGACGGGAATTTTGATGTATTGATGGCACAAGAAGAAATTCCACCATATCGAGTTGAGCAACATCAATATATAGATGATAATGGTGACATTCAAATTGTTCAAAAAGAATTTCGCCGGCCATTTCTAGACAATATAGACACATTTCAACTTCAAGAGAAATTTATCAATATGATCTGTCCTGAACTACTACAGTATAAATGACATTCTTTAGCTCTCGACAAGAAGTATTCGTTGTAATTTTAATGCATTAACCTCACCCTCTATAAAAATATCTGTAATTCTGTTGCTATTTATTACTTTTTTTAAAAATAACATGTTGTAATACTTTTAGCTGTTTGCTTCATTTAAATACTAATAACGATTGTTTCTAGATTTTTACAATACGCATACTTAAATTACTCCGAACTAATTGTATTGCCGATATGTCTCAATCATCAAGTGAGTGACACGCGAAGTTTATTTTCAACAGGAATATTATATCATATTCTTTCAACGATAGATTCTACACAAGGCACAAACATCTTCTCTGAATTAACAGCAGTTGCAGCTGGTGGCGCGGTAAGAATTTATAAAGTTGTAATGGATTAATGCATCTATTGATTTTACAATAGACTACCTCAACTGAATCGCAACAAGGAAAGAAACGGTCAGCACCTTTGGCACCTGCGGTTCAGATGAAAGAGATCAATGATAATGACAAGCCGAATAGCAAGAAAACCCCAAGTATCATTTTAAAGTCTTCTGGTCAACCAAAATTCGTTAGTGCAGCTGAAGTAGCTCGTACCAATCTTCAAGTGATGGTTGAAATTTCTGATGAAGAATTGCTTGAAATGGCAATCAGATTCGAGAAAAAGCATCCCAATTAGTCTACTCCAATGATTTGTTATGAAATAAAACTGAACTAGAGACGATCCGTCTTTTTTTGCTGTGTGATTGTAGTGCTTTATTTACATTTATTTAAACTGATTTTCTGTCATTTTTGTGTTTAACTTTCGAATATCTTCATTAGCAATATCTATCTATGAACATTATTGTTTTTACGCTATTATTATCATTGAAATTTATTTCAGATTTATAATATTCACTGGTCACACGTGAATAGGTTGGTAAGACACAGCTGGTATTGACGAAAGGACAATTTCCAACGGTGGCCGATCGCTAAACTCTATAGCACAGTTTGTAAGTTTTCTTAAACAGTTGGTCGTTTTCTCTATTTGGTATACAGTCTTCAGTATAATTATAGTACAAGAAACACTTTGACTCGTCTATTTGTACGGAAAAATGTAAGTTATCTGTGAAGAAACATTTACAATTGTTCCGCGTATGTATTCTATCTATCATTTTTCACACGATTTAGTCGATGCAGTAAAACAACAGCAGTGTATTATTTGCAAATGAAATATTCAACATCAACTCATTAAAGTGCATATTGAAAGTATGGATTAGCAGGAGTTTCTATTTTGAAATTTATGCATAAGTTAATGGAAACACCGACAACGATTCATCACCTCTGCACAGATATTTGGCAAGAAATATTTCAATATTTTAATGCACTTGAGGTATTGTACAGTTTCACGCATTTAACTAATGCCGCTGATGCACTATTATTTAATGAACATCATCGGCTGTATTTACGAGGACTAGTTGTCGATCGTTGCACACGAAGACTTCCGGAAAACAAATGTTTAAGTCGAATCATATCACTCGAACTGCATGAAAACAAATATGTCGAAGATATACGGCCGTACTCAGAAGTTCGTTCATTAAAACTTATCGGAGATGCTCAATGGATCATAAATGTTCTGATAAAAGCCTCGAACACTGTTTCAAAACTCGAACGATTAGTTTTGATTATACCTGGTGTTGGTTTGCTATACGATTTACTCGCATCTACCTCGACATTGCTATCACTACGTCGGTTGGCTATACATGCAGAAGACGTGGAAGAAAGAGTAAAAACTGCTACTTCATTATTACTCAGAGAAACTGAAATAGAACAATTTACGTTGCATTCATGCTCTTCAATTACCTGGTATGATTTAGCACACATGTCTCACTATTTCCATAATGTTCGCTTTCTCGACATTACTTTGTTTGACGTCAACAGAAATCCCTTTATGTCATACGATCTTCCAAAGCTTCGCTCCATTTCTCTCACACTCGTCGAAGTTCCATTTGATTCAATTATCCAATTCGTAGCAACAACACCGGTCCTAGTGAAGATCAGATTGAATGGTCTCGCAAATGATCAAGGTTATGTCGTCAATAACAAATGGCGAAGCCTATTCCAATTCTGTCCTTCACTGATTAAAGTTACTGTAAACCTCTCTTTAGAACAAGACACAAATTCTTTTTACAATGATATAATTCAAGCAGCTCTACAAGAATTTAATTTGGAATTAAAGTGCCTTGACGATGACAATGAATACTATTGTGGTGGAACTTGTCAACGTCGTTGGTGGAATTTATCAGGAATAATCATCAAAAACGATAAATACATTGAAGGAAAAAATTCGATACTGTAATGAACGAAAATTGAGGGTTTTTCAAAGCGTAATGTTTTTTATTCTGTCATGTCAAAAACTGGAGCGAAAGTTCAGTTTTTTAATTTCAATTTGAATTTATTCAGTTTGAAACATGTTTTCCATGAAGCTGTTAAGTATAATAGTATGTCTTGTCATACTTTTACTCTTTTGTCGCAGTTTTTCAGAGCTATTTGCTAAGCGTTAATGAAAACTTTCTTTTAGATAGTTATGTTTTAGATTAATTAAGAATGAATACTCTAAGTCTCGATAGAAACCAGCATTGTTCTACTGGTTTGTATACATGTCAAAATCAACCATGTATTTGCATTAAGACCAAGCGCATCGAAAAGTTTTTGCAAGTTTTGAATAGCTTTGAAATAGCATCAAAAGCGGTAGATTATGAGAATCAAATATCTGCTGTTGCATCCTCGATCTCTACGGTACGTGCGGAAATTGATTTATAATAAATTTTTTATACCTTTCTAATTTTTTTAGGATGAAACATTAGCTGCACCTTTACAATTGATTTTTCCAAAGGATTTTGATGAAAGAAAACACATTATGGATGATATCGCTCTGCATTACTTAACACAAGCAAGTAAAAGTGTTCAACACTTGGTTCCTGTAAAAAGTCTTCCTGACGGAAATTGTCTTTTCAATTCGATTGTTTCTCTTGTACCGGACTCTGGTATATGTGCGACTGAATTAAGAGGTTTGTTATTTTTATCACTCCTATTATTACTGATAACTGTTATAATTGACTTTATTCAACTTACTTATTTGGTTGTAGTACGAACAGTCATGGAACTTCTTAAAAATAGAATCTATTATGGTGCCCAATTTAGTAACCTCATTGGCCCTTTCAACGAAGCACTTCGAAGAGCTTGTAATAATTATAGTTTTTGTGAACTTTATGAGCTTGTAGCATTGGGTAATGTTTTGCATTGCGAAATACAAAGCGTGTATCCATATATCGATTATCGAGCTGAAATGAAATGTATGAATGCAGTGTACAAGCCGCTGGACACATCTGTAACGAAAAATGGAAGATTGGTAATATTTTGGACGAGCACCGATGACGAACTTACAACCAGAGAGCGTCCGAATAATGGTGGTGTATGGAGTCCAAATCATTTCGTACCACTTGTGCGGTCATGCCGAAGCGATCGCAGCGCAAGTAATGAACCAAGTAGTCCGATCATAGAGGTAGCATATAAAGGAGTATCAATGAAAAAAGCTATGTTTTGAGATTTCATTTAGACTCCTCGAAAGCAAACGATTAAAAATAACCAGATTTCGTCTATACGAAGTCCTGAATTTTCCCCACCACCCAACGCCAGAAAGCATAGACCGTCGTCATCATCGGCCGAGAGGCCACACTTGAATTTAGAGACTTATGACTCTCAACGGAAACGCGAAGAAAGAACTACCGAAAGTGAACAACAGCGAAAACAGCGTCTTGTCGCTGATCGACTGCGCAAACGTGATGTTAGAGAAAATGAAACCGAAGAACAACGATTGGGACGTCTTTCTGCTGATCGACTATCGAAACACACTGCCAAAGAAAATGAAACCGAAGAACAACGAGTGGCACGTATTTCTGGTAATCGCTTATCGCAACACACTGCTAGAGAAAATGAAACCGAAGAACAACGAGTGGCACGTCTTTCTGCTGATCGACTATCAAAACACACTGCCAGAGAAAATGAAACCGAAGAACAACGATTAGGACGTCTTTCTGCTGATCGACTATCGAAACACACTGTCAGAGAAAATGAAACTGAAAATCAGCAGCGGATGCGCCTCACCGCTCAGCAACAGCGATCTGCAAAAAATAGATTAAGTGGAAGTCAACAAAGGAGCAAGCCTCGAGCAGATAACAAGCAACACACCGACGTGGAACGGACTGCGGATAACCGCCTATCCAGAAATCAATCATTGGAAGCTGGAAACATACAGCGTGAAGAACAAATATTAGAGAAGGAGCACCAAACTCTACTAAGTGAATTTATATGGCCAATGGCGATTCCAACGAAATTAAAAAACTATTGTTTGCAAGACTTCTCTAATCATATGTCCATGGGAGCATTGCGGCAATCTACGTGTATCTTGTGTAATATTCGAGCCTCCGCTAACACAATGAACGAATGTGCTTTGCAGGATATTCTAAACCTGAAGCAACTAACTACGCATATAGATCTTGTGGATATTATTTCTAAAAAACAAGACGATGCACGAGGTATATATATATTGACCAAGTAAATATATTGTAGCATTTTATTTCTATTCAAAGAAGTTTATGAGAATTCCGACGTGTTCTCAGTGTCGAACATAGTACTTTACAAGAGAGGGTATAATAAAATGACAAAAACTGGTACTATTTGTCAACAATGCTACAGAGCGTTAACTAAAGGTAAGATTCCAATGTTCTCTGTAGCAAACAACATGTGGGTTGGTGATATACCAACTGAGCTTCAGGGACTAACAATTGCTGAAGAAAAACTGTGAGTACTGAACTAGTATTGAAATCATAAAGTTATGAAAGCATAATTGTTTTCTTTGAAGAATATCCCTATATCGACACAACAGTTGTATTATAAAACTGCAATCTCCGTTTCATCATCATACTACTGCTCAAACAGCGCTCAAAGGGAATGTGATTACCTTCATGCATAACATGCCAAATATTGTTACAAGTTTACCATTGGATGTGGAAGACCTGTCTGATGCGTTGAAAATTATTTTTATTGGTGCGCACACACCAGACCGGGTTTACTTACGCAAGATTTGTGGTGTGAGTCGACAAAAGATTCGCAGAGCTCTTCTATGGTTGAAACATCACAACCATATGTACAGAGCTATTCCTAGTAAGTTTCTGAAAATAATGATCCACAATATATGTCATGTTATATTTCAGTAAATGAGATAAACATCGCAAAATTACCCGAAGATGACGTCCCGGAAAGCATATGGGCTACTTTAGAGAGAATAGAGAATACTCATGATGGAAATGCAGAACGAACTGGATTTACTGACGATCCACTGGCACATGCTATAGACCAAAATGAAAAGAATCCTGCAAATATTTGTTCAATAAATCCTAGGTAAATTTCATTTATATTATAAGGAAAATTTCTAATATGTTCATTTATATCAGCGCTGTACTGGATGCTAATGGAACAATGATCTCATCGGAAGATATTGGTGTACATTTACTACGCAAAGTCCACAAGGGTTTAACCAACGTATCGTCTGATTTGCTCGACAAATCTAATGAGGATGAAGATGATGTCTATATGATCCCAAGATCCCACATGCCAATCAACGACTGCTTCAATCCAGAACTGTTGCTCGGCTTGTACCCAACTCTTTTTCCTTACGGATGTGGCGCACCTCAAGATTCATCAAGGCCCATTGCAGTCACATTGGAACAACACATCCGTTATTTTTTGGCATATGATGATCAGCGTTTTGAAAAGCATCATTCATTCATGTTTGTTATTTTCAATGTAATGCAAAGGCGACAGGCCTGTTGGAATGCAACTCTTATGGCTTCTCGTCCCTATTTTCAAAATGCTGCAAACGATCTTCAAACTCTGACAAGTGGTGAAATCGAGGCCGCTTTGATGGCTATTAGCAAAAACACGTTCTCTGCTGTAGAAAATCCGCGAATTAACATGATTATGAGACAAATCAAGACAGTAGGTGGACATGTTATGGGTTCTGCCTATTCACGAGCAGCTCTTCGAACTCAGATTCATGCACTAATCTTCAACCAGGGTTTACCCAGCATATTTATGACAATAAACCCTGCCGACATTCACAGCCGTGTGGCTCTCTATTTTGCCGGCGTTGATCTTGATCTTGATAAAGTTATACCAGAAACAATTCCATCAACATACGAGCGTGCTCAGATTGTAGCTTCGCATCCGGTAGCTACGGCTCGTTTTTTCAATGTACTCATGTCTTCTATTCTCAAATGCATGATTGAAAAGGGCGTAGTAGGTCCTATTAAAGCTTACTTTGGTACAGTCGAGACCCAAGGAAGAGGCTCATTGCATTTACATATTCTACTGTGGCTTGATCACGACCTAACACCTTCTCAGTTAAAAAAATCCGTTCAAAACGAAGATTTTCGACGTGGCCTTCTTAACTACCTAGAAGATATCATCAAGCAAGATCTGAGCAAGTTCGGTGCAAATGTGGCTGAAAATGAAGGTGAAGTACCCTTTTTCAATAAGTCACTAATATTTGTCAATTAATTAATTTTTAAGTTCTTGGACAACGGCAGCTACCAGCTTCAGAATCCAGTGTGAATGAAAGTGGTTCTCTAAAGCTTGTGTCATCAATCATGCCAACACCAAAACCATCAATGCCAGATTTTGTCTTCAAGTTCAAAGATGACATTGTACAGCTAGTAAAGGCCCATAATATCCATCACCACACCGCCACCTGCTATAAATATTCGAAAAAATCCGATAATCCTGTATGTCGTATGCGGATGCCACGACGGATCCAAGATGCATCATCAATTAATGTTGAATCTGGTGAAATTAAATTAAAGAGGCTTCACGAAACAATTAATAACTTTAACGAATATATTATCAGTGCTTGTCGTTCCAACATGGATATCAAGTATATTTTCAGTGGCAGTGATGCGAAGGCATTAGTGTATTATATCACAGATTATGTTACAAAATCCAGTCTCTCCTTTCATGACACATTTTCATTAGTACTAAAAGCTGTTCAGTCTTTCGAAAAGCAGAAAATTAGTACAGATGTCAATGTTAGTGTAGAGGAAAAATCGCGTCGACTCGTACTACGCTGTTATAACACACTTGCATCGCAGCAGGAATTATCTGGGGTGCAAGTGGCTTCTTATCTTATGGGCTGGCCTGATCATTATACAACGCATGACTTTGTCAATCTATTTCTCATTGGCATTGAAAACTATTTACAATCGACGCTACTGGAAGCTAGAATCAAAGAACAGCGGCAAACAACAAGTAATATTTATCACTTTCTGCTATGACTAGTACACTTCATATTTACGTAAATGGTTGCAAACATCAGAACGAAAGCTGGATTTTTAGAGTTTTCCATATGATACATAAACGTATGTACGAGAATAATTGTATAAAACAATAACATATTAAGAAATCAGTAGCTGATGAAATAGAGTACGCTTTTCTTCCTGGCAGAATATATCAGACCGCCGATAGACAATCATGAAAAAACTCAACTGACTAGTAGATTAACTTCTATTTTATAATATGCTCTTGTCATCTCGTTTGATAGATACTGCAGATATTGACAATGATGAAAACTGGCTTGAAACCGAAGAACAATTTTTACTTCAACCCACTGGCACAACCAACAAATATGCGTATGTGAACACTAGAGTAGACTATCAATATCGTTCAACAGCGCTCGACAATATGTGTTTATATGATTATATCAGCTTATATCGAAAAAAGCTCATTGATGTCAAGGATCGAAAAATACTAGAAGCTCTATCACAATCGGAAAGTATTCAAGCAAAAAAAATACAACGCGGTCGACCACCGTCTGAAAGAGAAACCTTTCAAGTTGGCCATCCACAATCTGCCTCACATTTAAATATAAAACGAATGAAAACAGTCGTTCCAGTTCTGCTTGGTGCGCCAATACCTCGTAAAGATCGAGAAGATACAAGAGAACGTTATTGTCGATCCATCCTCACACTCTTTCTGCCTTGGCGAACATTTCAAGATTTATGTCATGTTAATCAATCGTGGGAAGAGGCATTTAATGCTCACCAGGGAAACATTTTGCCGCCATCATGGAAAATCATCAATAATATCCAACTACTTCAGGAATGTAAAACTGATCGTGATGAACATCTACAGCAGATAATTGAAGCTGCACAAACTGAAACGGGCGGCAACGAATACTATTCCCATCATATTGAAAGTGATAATGAAGACGAAAATACCGAAGTTCTTGACATTTTGGAAGCCATTGACATAAGTGACATTCCTGTTGTGAATGGCAATGCAAACAAAGCAGAGCATACATACTTTGAAAAAATAGTGAAGGCAGTCGATCGAGCGAATAGATTTGCCAATATTCAAAGTAAGATGATTTATTTTTCAGAAGCCGTCATGACTAATTATCATTTGCAGATTCTCATACAGACTCAACAAATCGTTTCACATATTCATCCAAAGTCGATAAAGAAATGCTATATGATCATGAACATCTAGTGCCTGCAACTAGTGAGCTAATTCAATTAAACAACACATGGCAACGTAAGATTAAAGAACAAAAAGAGCAAATACGAAATGCCTGTATAGGCGAACGGCTGCAAAACGATCTCGTCGAGAACAACGACAATGCTGACAATGAACTAGTTTTAACCACAGAAGATACCATATCTACAGATCCCAGTACTAATAATGAGACTACAAGCTCAAGATATATTATGCCAGTTACGAAAATCGTGGTACCCAATGAAGTAACACGAGAGAATATAGCAACACAATTCACATTAAACAAGAACCAAAAAGCTGCATTCATGATTATCACTGGTCATTTGGATGGATTAGACAGACTGAACGAAGGTACTATGATAAAATAGAAAATTAATCATTAATATATCTTACTTTTGTAGATGACAAACAAAATCAACTAATTATGTGTGTACCTGGTTGTGGAGGTACAGGAAAGTCTCAGTTGATCCGGGCTATAACTGCCTATTTTACAGAAACCAATCGTACACATAAATTGAGAAAACTTGCACCAACATCAGTTGCTGCGGCAGAGATTGAAGGGATGACCATACATTCGTTTCTCGGCGAAGGACGAAATCGAAAAAGTAAATCAAAAGCGATGAATCGTCCTGGACAAATGGCATTAGAAAATACATGGCGTTTCGTTGAGTACATAATTCTTGATGAAATGTCAATGGTCGGTCTTAGCTTATTGGCTCGTCTCAACAAACTTGTCGCAATAGCTAAACACTGCGATCCCATGTCTACGATGGGTGGTATAAATATTATCTTTTTTGGTGATTACATTCAATACTCCCCAGTATTTGACAAGCCACTTTATTACAACTTNCGCCGTCATCATGGGAAATCATCAATAACATCCAACTACTTCAGGAATGTAAAACTGATCGGGATGAGCATCTACAGCAGGTAATTGAAGCTGTACAAACTGAAACGAGCGGCAACGAATACTATTCCCATCACGTTGAAAGTGATAGCGAAGACGAAAATACCGAAGTTCTTGACATTTTGGAAGCCATTGACATAACCGACATTCCTGTTGTGAATGGCAATGCAAACAAAGCAGAGCATACATACTTCGAAAAAATAGTGAAGGCGGTCGATCGAGCGAATCGATTTGCCAATATTCAAAGTAAGATGATTTCTTTTATCGGAAGTTGTCATGGCTAGTGATCATTTGCAGATTCTCACATCAATGCAACAAATCGTTTCACATATTTATCCAAAGTCGATAAAGAAATTTTATATGATCATGAACATCTAGTGCCTGCAACTAGTGAATTAATTCAATTGAATAACACATGGCAACGTAAGATCAAAGAACAAAAAGAGCAAATACGAAATGCCTGTATCGGTGAACGATTGCAAAACGATCTCGTCGAGAACAACGACAATGCTGAAAATGAGCCAGTTTTAACCACAGAAGGCGCAATATCTACAGATCTCGGTACTAATAATGAGACTACAAGCTCAAGATATATTATGCCAGTTACGAAGATCGTGGTACCTAGTGAAATAACACGAGAGAATATAGCAACACAATTTACATTAAATAAGAACCAAAAGGCTGCATTCATGATTATCACTGGTCATTTGGATGGATTAGATAGACTGAACGAAGGTAGTACGATAAAATCGAAAAACTAATCATTAATGTATCTCATCTTTGTAGGTGACAAACAAAATCAGTTAATTATGTGCGTACCTGGCTGTGGAGGTACAGGGAAGTCTCAGTTGATCCGGGCTATAACTGCCTATTTCACAGAAACCAATCGTGCACATAAATTAAGAAAACTTGCACCAACGTCAGTTGCTGCGGCAGAAATTGAAGGGATGACCATACATTCGTTTCTCGGCGAAGGACGAAATCGAAAGAATAAATCAAAAGCGATGAATCGTCCTGGACAAATGGCACTGGAGAATACATGGCGTTTCGTTGAGTACATGATTCTGGATGAAATGTCAATGGTCGGTCTTAGCTTATTGGCTCGTCTCAATAAACTTGTCGCAATAGCTAAACACTGCGATCCCATGTCTACGATGGGTGGTATAAATATTATCTTTTTTGGTGATTACATTCAATACTCCCCAGTATTTGACAAGCCACTTTATTACAACTTCACGTCTTCGATGAACAGTGACACACAAAAAAA